GTATTTTAGAGTCAAGGCTCCCGGTGCTGATTTCTGTTTGGCATGGGGCGAGCCCCACTGGAGGATGCCACCTCAGCTGCGAATGGGTGCTTTCAGGAAGAAAACAGGGAGGTTCTGAGGCCCCGTGGGGCTGCTCCGGCTGGCACCTGTCCACCTCTGTGAAGAGGAAGGCAGTTGTGTTTGATTAATAAAAATCTCATGCATAACTTTCGGGAAAAAGAGGGAAATGAGCCTTCCCTGGCACTCCTTGTTGAGTCAAAGACAGGCAGGGACAAGCTTGGCCTCAAGGAAGGTGCCTGTGCTCTTCTGCCAGCCTCTGCCATTAGGAGCTCCCGATGAAATCAGTACTGAGGAAACTTTAAAGGGAAACTTTATAGGACAGCATAATAGATTTTTAAATGTTTAACAACAAGAAGTTTTATTAAAAAAAAAAAAGGAAAGAAAAGCAAGACATAAGAGCTAGACTGCATATTTACTTTAGATTTTTTTCTATTATTATTATTATGATTTGCTGTAAAAGTCAGAATACTCTGCTCATTGTGAAGTTTTATCTAGATGGTAAAGAGGAATCAATAGGATCAAAGTGAACACTAATCTTCAACGAAGCCCAGCTTTAACCCTTCTTTGCCCTGGTAAAGGACGAAGCCAGTGGAAACATTTCAGAGAATGAAGACTCAGAATAGAAGCCTATGCCTGAAGAAGGAAAAAGTGGTGAATGGGTGGGGCTTTCACTGGAACTAGGTTTTATTTTAGAAAGAGGGAGAGCGCTCAGAAGCAAATTCTTATGTTAATGTAAAATGTTAATGTGCATTAAATTGCGATGGTGATATCAGGTGTCTGTTATTAAGTGAACAGTTTTTCTCTATGCTTGAAATCCTTTATAATGAAAACAGTTGTTAAAAGGGAATGTGACGACTTACACAGCAAAACTCTAGAAAGCTAACTGGGGTTCCCTGACCTGAAATAAACATGCAGAGCACCAGGTGGTGCGATAGTCTGAGTTCTAGAAATAATCTCAACAAAGTAAGACAGTGTCTAAGCTGAGCCTACAGAGTTTCAAACACGGGACAAAATTCAGTAGAAAAAGGAGGGTCGGTGCAGCCTCGTAGAGTTGGTTTTAAAATGACTTAACCTGTGGAATATGTGGACAATCAGCAAGAGGCTGGGCCTAGCAGGTTACACATTCTCATGGTCTGAAAAGCAGTTACGGGTCTGCACCCCCAACCTCAGCCAGTCCCCACGGCTTTCAGGTGGCCCCGACCCTCTGCTGCTGCCTGCATGTGACTGAGGGCACGCTGAGCCACCTGCCTTTCAGGGCCTCTCAAGGGAGCAGTGTGATCTCAGAGGCATGACAGGTGCAGTGGAGAGAAGGGAAAGAGGCTGTACTGGTTTGTAGGTGAGGAAAAGGCAGAGCCCATCACATTCCACAGTTAAGCCTGACCAATGTACTTTATTAAGTACGTAGTGTATGTAAATCTCAGAAATATTTTCCCCCAGTCAATGTAAATGCCCTCCCTTTGAAGTCCCTGTGGAATAGATTGCGGAGTGTAAGTGGGGCACTCGCCCTTACACCTCCCTCCACGGACGCTGGATAAGGACCAGTCCATAGAGGCTCCCACTGCGCACACAGGCTCTGCAGGGGCGCTGCCTTGACTGAACCCCTCTCCACTTTCACTTTCCCTTCTGTAACAGTTGATGCCAAGAGCCAACAGAACTCATACGTTAACTTCCAGATATGCAGTTATCACAGAGTATGGAATATTTAAGATATATTTACTTCTCTTCTAGAACCTCTGAACTAGCATAGGTGGGTATATATAATATATACTCTTTTCTTTCTCAATTTCCACCTATGCTAGTTCAGAAGTTCTAGAAGAGATTATAGTCACCATGACCATCATCTTGAAAATAAGTATCTACCAATAATCAGGAAAGGTACATTTGCCAAATAATATACTTAGGCAATCCCCTGTAACCTACGACCACAGCTTTCGAGTAGAAAAGCGTGCACAGGACAAGGTTAAGGCTGACTGGACACTGCATCCGGATGGGTGGTTTATAAAGCAGGGTGGTTTTGCCTGCCAGGGGACATTTGGCAATGCCTGGAGATACTTCTGGTTGTCCCAGCTGTAGGGATGTTATTGGCATCTGGTAAGTAGAAGCCAGGGATACTGCTAAATATTCCATAAGGCACTAGAAATCCCTTTACGATAGTGTTTTCTGGCTCAAAATGTCAACAGAGAGAAGTTTGAGAACCCCTGGTCTAGCTGTGTCTGTCCACAGCTTTCCTCACAACCTCACCTAGAGTGGGTGCCTCATTACCTACTGCAGAGCACAGGTATAGTTGTAAATGTCCTCCCGAGAGGAGAGAGGAGACATACAATGAGGGCAAGCCTTTCCTCTGCAAACTTTTTAAAGGGATTTAAAACCCCCCTGTAAACAGAAAGGTCACTCTCATCTATTCATTATGAAAAGACCATTGAAAGTGATATGGGGAGAAGAGCTCTGGAGAAAATGTCTTATGGTTGTTGCTTTCTCTTCCTCCTTCCCATCCTTCTGCTCAAGAGCTCCTAAGATAAATAAAATTACTTCCTTTAACTGTAACAAACAACAGAGTTATTTAAACTCCCAGTGGACGAGAGCAGGCTAGAAGAACACTGCCAGCTTGTAACAGACCCCTACACTGTTCTTCCTCTTCTTATAACTGGATTAAATGTTTAATGTTTAATAGATACATGCAGAATTAGTAAATAAAAAAGAAATGGGTAGCTAGAATAATAAAGCCATTAGCTGAAGTTTAATAATGACCAATTTATACATGTGGATTTTGACTTCCTTTAGTATCAGTTGTTTATATATCTGTATATCCCACTGATTATTAAACTCATTTATACAGAAACTATAATCTGATAAGAATATCTAAGGACCATTGAGTTATTTCATTTCTAATTATTTTGTAAATGTAAGGCAGCAACCACCACATGAGAAGACTGAGCATAAATGGATGCAAAAAGTTTTTAATTAGATAACACACTTACAGCAAAGTTAATGAACGCCATATACTTGTTAGTATCAAAAATGGCTACTCAGCCACAAAAGACCAGAGCAATAGAAGTAAATCGCTCATGAAAATACTATAATTTATATTTTTGTACAGAGCCAGGCTAGAAAAAACTCCCAGTGTCAACGCTGATAACATATATCTTTCTATTATCCTATCACAAGTATAAACATGAACACATACTAAATATATATTTATATACTGAATATACAGTATACATACATATGTATGTATGTATATATGTATGTATGTATATGGCACATAGATACATACGTTGAAAAGATAAGTGCTGGATCTGATTCCCTAATATCTGAGGCCCCTGAGCCGCTCTCTCCCTTTTTTCCAGAGTTATAATTCTCTGTCCCTATTTTACCATTGTCCTCCCACAAACTGCCCTCTCAGTCTTTGCCCGAGCAACCCAAATGCACACATTCCATGTGCAAGTTCAATGAGCAATAGTCAGCTGTAGGATAAAGAGCCACAGTCTTGTGAGAAAGGCAAGTTAATTCTTCTCTTGGAGCCTTAGCTTCCTCATAAGCATTAAACATTTAACTTACTAGGGTTGTTATGAGGATTAGAAGAGGTAATATATGCAAAGCACTTGGCAAATCTTTGGAGCTTAATAAATGCTAATTCTCCTCTTTCCTCATGTAGATTCCAAAGACTGTGACCATAAGAGTGTCATCTCCTCTGAGCTAAACACATTGTATTTACCCTGCTCAATAACCCTGAAGAAGAAAAACATCTTTCATTCCACAGGAGAGCCAGGAGGCTTAAAATGCAAATGTGATTGGCAGAATCCACACTCGATAATATGGGTGGGTTTCATTCAAAAAGTAAAGAATGACATCACAGTATTCTGTATTTTGTTTCAGAACAGGGGTAAGAAATTAGAAAGATCTGGGCTAGAAGTGGGGAGGAGAAAAGGGAAGAAACAAGATGCAAACCTGGCAACCAAAGACAAATTTCATTGACATCGTGATTGTCCTGAGGGCCTGTCCTGCTGTCCTTCACTGATTCACAAGAACACACACAAACACTGAGGCCAAACGTATGTTATCTCCTAAAGGGTACATCTTAGTGGGCACTAAGATGGTAACCTTTTGCTGAAGCCTTGAATTATTGAACAATACAAATTTTTATAAACAATGAAATTGCAATTGTTGGCAGGTTTATCCCCAAAACCATTATCAATCAGTCAACAAAACATGGCACCATTTATGAAAGTAAAAAACTCAAATTAACTTAAATAAAGATATTCTTCTTAAATTAACAAACAGAGAAAGAACCTGAAAGTGTGTAAAGGGTTTGACCAAGCACACATTCATCAAGTGTTGCATCATCAAGAGAGACATTCCAGGGACTTCCACGTGTGAATGTCCATTTGCCAAGCAGAGACCCTGTAGTACTTCCAGTCTAAGAGACTCTACAAAGCATATACCATCAATATTTCTGCATTTCACATATTAGGATACTGAGGATTAGAAGCGGATAACCTAGTCAAAGCCATGCAGATAGTAACAGTCTGGACCTAAATGCATGATCTTAAATACTATGCTATCCAATCATACCCTCAGTCATCTGTTTCAACTTTCACTAAATCTCTAAAAAGCTGAAATCAAGCGCTTCTTTTAAAGATTTCTTAATGTATCAAGAGGTATACAGTTAAAAAAAAACCTTTAAAGTGATGAAGGAATAGTAAAGGTTGGTTAGCTAAGGTTGAAATAATTTCTACTGAATGGAAATAATAATGAGGTTTCAAAATCTGTCACTTCTGTTGCTAAGAGACACATTTCTATATGAAAATTATAACAATAATTATGTGAGTATTTCAGGTTGGAGGTAAAAGCCAAATGCATTCACGTAAAGCAGTTCCTCACTGGCACTGCTAGGAAATCAAATCTTCCAAAGCCCACAGAGGAAGTCATCATGAACTTACTTTGACCTGAGGGTAGGACTTCTTGTTCTTTTCACTAGATGCACCGGGGAGTCCGCCATGGGATGGGCCTTCACAGACATAACGGAAACGAAATCCTCTCTGGAAAGGTGAGCACAGAGCCAACACATTTGAGAAATACTTACTCAAAAGTACCAGGACAAACTATATACAAAGTTTTAATTCATTTGTTGTATTAGATAAGAGAGAAAAAAATAAGAAATGTGTGGAAAAGGATTATGACAATGAAAACCACTTTTCCCATAATCTTACTATGAACGTTGAGGTTAATTGGTATTTTGTGTACTGGTGGCTTTAAAGAGCGGTCCCTAACCCTGTAGAAACTCTCCTGCTATGCACAGCTGGGGAGTGAACTGCTGAAGAGTTAGTTTAGCCTTGGACTGGACATGCTGCAGCTTGTTTGAACCAGAGCTTCTTCATCTCAAATTGCCGCTGCCAAGCTCTGAACTTGGCCATATTAACACTCCAAGTTATGCTTCTTTGACTCTTACTTAAAGGAATTCCTTTATCTACTCTGGTTACAGTTGGTTCAGCAGGGAATACAGAAATGCCTTGTTAAATATAGCATGTCAGTGCTGTAGACACATCCTATGCTAGATGCCACATTTGGCCAGTTTCTCTCAATAATTCAGAAGATAAGATTTTTGATTATTGGTATTATCAGGCTCACACTCTCTATATGAACTGACCTGAATGAGTCAAAAACCAGTCTCTTTAAATATTATTAACCCAAGAATTTGAAAACTGTTGCAAATCAATGCAGAGTTAGCCGGAAGTCTTCACTATATGAACTACTGTGGGCTAAAAAACCCTAAGTCTTATATTTTTATAATCTATACAAATGAGACTGGACTAGACTACATTTAAGACCTATCCCAGTTCTAACATTTTATGATTTACAAAACTAACCATTATAATTTGTATACAAAGAGTAAAATAAGGGCAATTATGAGAATGGGTCTCATAATCTTAATATTAAGGGTACTTTCAAACTATTTCCTGAAAGATGCAACTTTATAATGATGTAAGCCAAAGTGTGGCAGCATTAGTCGTTTATAATTATACAATCACTAACTGGATGGTTTTCTCAAATTCACCCTTTGGTGAAAAGAGTTTGTTAATATACTTTATGTAATAACCTCACCTGTCATTTATTTTTATTGTGCGACTGACTTCATTTACACAGTGCTAGATCACTAGGCCATGAGGAGCTCCTTACACCCACTGCTCCCTGCTGGGGCTTCTACCCAGCACAGTCACAGCAACTCTGATTTTTTAAAATATATTTTTATTGATTTCAGAGAGGAAGGGAGCGAGAGAAACATCAATGATGAGAGCGAATCGTTGATTGGCTGCCTTCTTAGGGCCCCCACTGGAGATCGAGCCCACAACCCGAGCATGTGCCCCAAGTGGGAAACCAACCATGACCTTCTGGTTCATAGGTTGACGCTCACTGGCTGGGCAAACACTAAGGTTTTAACAGCTTTGAATTCATCCATCCATGTAAAATGTTCACCCTCCTCAGGCTGCACTACATTTCATTATTCCTTGTGCAGGGTCCTGGGATACAGTCTCTGAGTGGTCCAGGGGTCCCGAGTGAATTTAAATCTCTGGCATCTGGAACTCTCTGAGATCTTCCTGATTTTCAAAGATGCTCAGCACTATAGCATGCTTCAGGGGATGAAGAGGGCCTGAAGTAAGTTCTCTGGTGAAGGAAAGCTTCTCAAGTCACAGGTCTGGAGGTGTGATCAACCTGTCAAAGTGGGACTTCACCTCTAGAGAAGACTTCTGAGGTGCAGTTAGTCATTGAGGGGCAATTCTTCTATTTTGCCTCTCGAAAAATTAAAACTGAAAAAATACAAATTTAGCCCTATACCTTTTGTAGACAAAGGCTGGTGCTTATTTTTAATAGTTAAATGGGCTTTGAAAAGAATGAAAAAGCCGAAACCGGTTTGGCTCAGTGGATAGAGTGTCAGTCTGAGGACTGAAGGGTCCCGGGTTCTATTCCGGTCAAGGGCATGTACATTGGCTGCAGGCACATCCCCGGTGGGGGGTGTGGCAGGAGGCAGCTGGTGGATGTTTCTCTCTCATTGATGTTTCTAGCTCTCTGTCCCTTTTTCTCTCCCTTCCTCTCTGTAAAAATAATCAATAAAATGTATTTTAGAAAATAAAAGCATCAGCATATGCAACAGTTAGCCTCCAGAATAAAGGCAGAAATTCACTTGACTGCTACTCAATTTAAATACTTCAGTTTTTAAACAATATTAGATAATTACCAATGAATAATATGCAACAGAACTGGATATTTTAAAGATTAGCAGTCTATGCTATGACTCATCTCTGTCAGAACTGGGGAGAATTGTGGCAAAGAGACTGCAAAGAAAAAAAGAACATTTTTCTAACTTTTATTTTTTAAAATGCAATAAAGGAATTCATTATCTTGAATCACAAAATTCCTTGAGGACAGTTGGAAAAATATAGCATGTGTACTTTTATGTTTTACTGGGAGTGGTATCAAGTAGAATATGAGTAAAGAGATGTGTCTTAATAGCTTGCTTAAAAAATAGATATTTTTCATGGTTGTATAAAAGTATCTAAAGTTCTAAAGGAATTTTAACCTGAGGGTAGACATTTCTTTTCTTTTCTTTTTTTTTTTTTTTTTAAAGGAAGATAGAGTGTCTTCAAATGCATAGTCTAGATGCATTTCTGATTCTGTGTCTCTGAGATTAAAGGTTTGTGAATCCACAGCTATTCATCTCAGTATCTCCATTTGCTTAGAATGAGTCATCAACCTCAAAGGCAAACCTATATCCACCCAGTCAGAAAGTCTGACTTGAATACAACTTTCTTACTTTCACTGGAGTCAGACATCAAAATAATATCAGTTTGGTAAATAAACACATTGTTTTACTCGCATGAGCTTTTGCATCTCCACGTATAGTGAATTACGTTTTGAATTTTGGAAATACCTTAAGGTAAATTATAAATGCCAATTTTTCCTTATAACTGTTAGAGCCATAATAAGAAATGCATTTAAAATTCTCGTGGTGGTGCTATGCTTATGAAAACAGATATTTGAAAACATGATTTGGTATGCAGACAAATAACTTAGTTAATTTCTCATTTTTACAAATGACCCAGATCTTCCAATTACAATAGAAAATTTTCCAGGAGGCCGGACCCCTGCACAAAATTTTAGGGATAAAGTTCCCCTGGGAGGGTGTTGGAGGGAATTGGTGAGCAGCTGGGAGAAGTCACCACTACGGAATTGGAGAGAAGTAAAGGAAAGTAATGTTGGCAGACTGTGGGGTCTGGTGGTGTCACCTATAAGCTACTGGAGCAATGCCCCAAAATCTCATGTGGCATGCCAGTTCCCATACCAAAAACTTTTATCTAAGTTCAGCCTTTTAAAGAAAGTCTATTGGTCATAGTTATGATATTTATACCCTTTAAATGTTGACCAAAATCCAAATACATACATAATGCCACAATTATAGTAACCACAACAATTGCTTTTAAGTTCTTGACCTAGTTAGCATTTGCTAAATGCTACACTCACTCACCCTAGCTATTAAAAACATTTAGGAAGAGTATTGGGTAATATAAGTGCAGGACACAGGTACACAAACCCATGGTCTCACACAAATTTGGTAAGCACATCTATTTAGAAATTTACTGATTGTCCTCAATCTGTAGAGGACTATACCAGTGGTCGGCAAACTGTGGCTCGTGAGCTGCATGTGGCTTGCAAGCCGCAGTTTGTCGACCACTGGACTATACTATCACGTCTAGCTCTTAATAACTGAAATCTACAGGCAGTTGTTACAGATTCTCTTTTTGCTTCTTTCATAGCACCGGTTCCACCCACTTTCCAATCACTATTATCGGCAGATCTGAAGCAGGGTGAGGAGGCCACTTTTATTCCCAGAGATCCTCTACAGAATCCAGTGGGAAGAGGAAGAACCTGAGGAAACAAAATGCTCCTTCTCTTGACTACAAAGAGGCTGAGTCTAAAGTTAACACCAGAAAGGAGAGAACTCAACTGCCCATTCTAATACAATTCATCTCCCACTGGTGGTTTTAATACCTTAGGGTACATGATCTACCCTAAGAAGAGGCTGGAGCTACTCAAGATGGGAGGAAGGCCAAGAAGTACTGCGTGTGATGGACACGACTGACGGATGTAATTGCATGTATGTGAGCTGCACGTATGTGTTATTTATGTATGAATGGAGAGAGCCTATCTCTCCTGGGAGTGGCTGGTAAGCAAAGTTGGTGGAGATACAAGATACCAAGGATCTATAATTAATGGAAATTTTACAGAACTACGCATTGAGACTCAGGACGGTCTGCAGAATGACTAAGAGAAATGTCAAATGGACGAATGAAGTTGTTACATAATTTGGCAAGTTGTTGGTCTTCTAGATCAGCTACTTCCTTCACAAAATTCAGTTACTATTTTTTTGGTGCTTGAGATATTAATATTCGACTTATGGATCTAATATTTAAAGAGAAAGTTCCCACTCCTTTCATCTTCTTACCTGTTTAGGTTGCTCTAATATTTGAAGGTATGGGCCATCTGCTAAAAACAAAAACAACAGACAAAAACCAAAAGAATGTGAGGCTTCTCAAATTTGGTATATAATACTAAGCAAGCAAAAAACAGAAATTATGTTTTAAAATAAAATTTTCAATGAAAATTTTTAGCTAAGATTTCACAAAGATATAATTTATCTCCCTCATTTGAATATTACATTTATTATTATTTTAACAGTTTTATACCTTTAGAGAACCACAATAAAAAATAAAAAACATTTTTTGAATGATGATAGTACATTGTACAACCTAACAAAAGGCCTGGTGTTTGGTAAAAATTAATATGTGAATAGCCTTTATAATCTTGTGTACTAGCAAAGCATTTTAAAAATGACATGAATGCCAATTAAAAGCAGCAATGACTTCCTGGTCTCTATGACTTTTTTTTTTTTTCCTTCACAGCATTAGATACTGACTTCTTTCCTTCAGAGGGGATGTGCTTCCTGTGACATTACTGGCCTGAAATGATACCCACATATGTGAAATACAAAGATAATGGTCTCAGGCTGCCTGCTTTTCCTTATATTACATCCCTGGTTCCTTCCCCTTACTTGAATCCATAAGAACTAGCCTTCATTCCCTAACTAGCTAGCTTGTTCCTGCTCCTTCCCAAATTTAATTTGGTCTACGAGGCATGATGGACTTTTCTAATAAATCTATAGCTTTTGATGTTTGTATACAATTTCTGAATACTGTGCTCTGATATAAACTTTAATCTAAAACAAGCACAGCATTTTGTAAAATCCTGAAAATAATTAATGCCAATTAATTATTATAAAAACATAAAGAAAATTGGAAGCTTATTCCATATTCTGATTATATCTGACTTTGGAAATTCAAAGGAAAATCAGAATCTCTGACAGTATAAATACAAATTTGTTCAATGTGAGAAAGTCCCTAAGCTCCCCAGGGTGTCTTATGACAACAATATAATAACCCATAGTTCTTCAATAAATAAAGGCATATGCTGTTTCTCACCTGTTTGAATGTTAATGAAAAAGTTCAGTACTACCACCAACAACAAAAAAATACACTGGGAGAATGCTTGTGTCCATTTCAATCCCCACTGTCCCTTAGCCAGAAATTCAAGTCCTATTACATTAAATAAATACATTTAAGAAGAATGAAATAAATACCTTCAGCTTGAACTAAAAAATAAACAACTAAATTAATAGAGCAATTATTTTTATCCTTTTAGTTTTATGATGAATCAGAATAAGGCTAGAGAACTATAGGGAACAAAGGTATAATTATTCCCTGTTCCGATTCAAGAAATGTACCAAGAAAGGCAGTTGAAAAATGACTGAATTTGAAGCAAAACATCCACACAAAAGGAAATATGAGAAGTGACTGGCCAAAGTAGTATAATTTATGTAAATTATCTCCTTTGTCTGTATAAAATTCATCCCTGCACATTTTCAACTACTTTCAGAAAAGGAATTGCAATGTGAAGATTCTAAAACATGGTTAAAATTTAATTTTTGATAAGAAGATAAAATCAATAAGAAATAGGAATATTTTCACACTACTAACCTATAATTTGTATGTCAGTGTAACAGATACAGTCGTAGAAACATTCCCTTTAGGATGCTAAGTGAACATATCAGGAAGAGAGGCCTCTAACAACGCGGCATTTAGAAGCCATAGGAAACATAGGAGAATGGAAGCATATTTATATGAAACTTCAAGTCTCTCACTTATTATGATTATTATGATTATTTATTTTTCAATTGCAGTTGACAATATTATTTTATGTTAATTTCTCACAATTAATTCTTATAAAAGTACTTGAAGTTTTCCTATTATTTTTGCTCAATGATGATATTTCTTTTAGAAATGTGAAATTTTTAAAGGTCTTGGAATATTGTTAGTTAAATGGGGCAATTTTCCTTTCAGGGAACACACTCAAAACTTAAATCAACTAGAAAATTAGATTGGATACCCATATGTTTATTTTAATGCTAAATTTTTTTTTGGTCTCATGTCTATCTGATGATGTGACAACCCATTTTTAAAGAGAAATGTAAAAAACAGCATAATGTTATAGATTTAACAGCTGCACTATATCTCAAAGTTTTCAACAAGTTATAGAACTACTCATGATTTTATATTTCAAGAAACATATAAAATAGTCCATCTGAAAATTACAACATTGGTACCCATGATCTTTCTGCCCTTTAAAACGTGAATAAAATAGCATACATCTTGGATTATAAAAACTTGACTATGCTACTGCAACCGAGAGGAAATATAACAATAAAAAGGACAAAGTAATAACTGGGAAATAAGTCGTTTGGTATAATTTTAAAAGCTTTTCTAATATGGCAAAAATAATTTCTACAATGTGAAACTGACTACAGAATATTTACTAAGATAGTTCTCTTGGTAATCTTATTTCTACTTCCAAAAAACATGACGAAATAAAGACATTATCAAAGCATTTGCCTCCGGATACTGTTTGGCATCTATAGGCATTAAATGGAAAGGTTTATGTTCCCGTAAAGGCAGAACCAACTTCTGATGTTTTCAATAAAGCATTAATACCAAGAAAGACACTTTGATCCCCAGAATTGAAAGTTGACAGGAAACACCGAAGCTACCAAGATATTTACTTGTTCTTCACAGGAAGCTGACCTAGAGTTCAAATTGGACAGCAGCTCACGAGATCTTAAACTTCGGAGTCTACAAAATGTGTTTTGTGGGGTAAAGAGAAAAAGACCTCAGGAATACGACTTTGGATGGCGAAGGTGAAGGAAAAGCAGATTTATTAATATCCTCTCATGAAGTCCCAGAAATAACAGAGATTGAAGTGTAGAAAACATTCTGATCTAAAAAAAATAAGTACCAGAATAACAATAATAGGTGTTATTATTTAAATAGAATGATACAAATTCTTCCACTGAGGCCAAACAAGGCCATGTTAAATCGAAGAGCTGAGGTCCACTTTGGTGATTACAACACTTGCTGTTTTATATGCAGCTCCTATCATTGACTCACCCTGCGCTTGCAAATGTCTGTTCGGTACCATTGGTAATGTGAGGGGCACATAAAAAGAAGCATCACACAAAGCTTACATACAAGTCAATAAATTAAAACAAGCTGTGTGTGGAGATGATTAACATAGTCACGTTAGAAGGAAGGATGATTTTGATGTTTTATCCAACTGGGCAGAATGTAAAGCTAAAAGCTTTTTAAAAAGATTATTCTTTTTTTTTTTTTACTGAGCTGATTTTTATAATTTTTGTGCACTTGTATCCCCAGTGCCTGACATACACAACAGGTACTCAAATGAGTGTTTTTGTAATAGATCAGAGCAGTTGAAACCACCAGAGTCTGGGACAAAACAAAGAGGAGTTAAAAATAACTCAGAGATGGTAAGATTGGCTAAAAGGGAAAATCCTTACATTGAGTGAAGAAATTCCTTCTGAGCTGTCTTAGCAGATATTAGCAACAATTGTAAGTTATATAATGGGTAATGCGGGGTGAAACATTTTTGTGCAAATATATTTCAAGAAAGTATATTAAAAGATTGTGGGTTTTTTTTTTTTTTTAAATCCTCAACTGAAAATATTTTTCCATTGATTTTTTAGAGCGAGCAGAAGAGGGAAAGTCAGGGAGAAATATCGATGTGAGAGAAACACATCGATTGGTTGCTTCCTACATGGACCCTGACCAGGGCCTGGGCCAGGGAGAAGCCTACAACTGAGGTACCGTATTTTTCGGACCATAAGACGCTCCGGACCATAAGACTCACCAGTTTTTAGAGAAGAGAAATGAAGAAAAAAAGATTCTGAAACAAATAGTGTCCTAAAATATTTTATGTGCATTAAAACCCAACATCACAGTCATAAATACATGTAATCAACCCTGTAAAGTAAACAGCAGCATTTAGAACCATTTTAGAGCCGGGCAAGCACACAGAGACCACACAGAGCCGGGCAAGTAAAAAAACTTTTTTTTTAAAGTATATGTATAGGCTATATTTGGACCATAAGACGCAGGGACTTTTCCCCCCCACTTCTGGGGGGAAAAAAGTGCGTCTTATGGTTCGAAAAATACGGTACATGCCCTTGACCAGAATTGAACCTGAAACCCTTCAGTCCGCAGACCAACGCTCTGGCCACATACTAATAGCCAAACCAGATAGGGCTAAAAGATTGTTTTTTAGAACATAAGTCACCATTTCCTTTGCAGGTATAACACTGAATTTCTAAAAGAGACCACTAGCAAATCCTGAATTTAAAAAAGTAAAAGCCAAATAACAGGATAGCGGGAGTGAGTTTTCTTACCCGTTGGCATTGGCATCTCTGGCTGAAATATTTCCGAGTTAAATATTGTATGATTCAAAGGCTCCAAATGAAACATCTGTAACAAAGAACATTTAAATTTTCAATCATTGTTTTTCCAACCTGTATTAAACATTTGAAGTTATCAGACCTACCACCTAACGACAAGAACAAAAACTAAAGCCCAATACAAAAATCTGAAAATATTTCAAATCCGAGTTTTAAAAATACCTTCATGAGACCTTGCTAAATTTGCATGTGTATGAAACTTTACAGGGGGCTAGACTGTGTTTACGGGACAAAGGATTTTGAAGAGTAACCTGGCTCCCAACGAGCACAGAGGGAACTTGCCTAACTTCTATATCATTAGGGTCCAGCCTAAGCTTATCACACAGTGGATACTTACGTAAGAGATATTTGCTGAATGAATGACTTGAAGCTCATACTCTCTTAGAAATATAAGCACAGAATAGAATCCTAGAGATTTCTTTTATGATGGTAAACAGCCCCCTACTCTAGACATTTGATTTCAAGCCCTGAAAGAATTAGACAGCAGCCCTGGGTCAATATACAAAAAAGGGGACAATATTACTTACAGTCCAAGGAGCAGAGGACTAAACACTGAGTTCCCTCACCTTTTTTTTTTTTTTTTTTTTTTTTTTAATTTCATTCACCTAGTGCAATGCAAAAACACCTGGAATTTAGTGGGTGTGGTCAGCTGAATAATGGTCCCGAAAAGAGATCCACATCCTAATCTCCAGAACCTGTGAGTCCTATTTCATATAGCAAAAGAGATTTTGGGGTAAGTAATTATTAGTAACTTATTAAGATGTTATTAAAGTAAGAAAGCCAAGGTCGGGAGGCTGTCCTGGATTAACCAGATGGGCCTGATAAAGGGGTCAGGGTATCAGGGTGAAGAACAGATGTGACAATGGAAGTGAGAGGTTGGCGTGATGGAAGGGGCCACAAGCCAAGGAGTGCAGGCAGCCTCTCGAAGCCCATACAGGCCTGGAAATGAAAGCTTCCGGAAGGAAAGCAGCCCTGCCAACTCCTTGATTTCAGACTTCTGACCTCCAGACAATACAGGAATAACTCTCGGCTTGTTGGAAGCTACTAAATTTGAGATAATTTGCTACAGCACCATACATTTTGATGGAATTATATTCTATCTTAATGAGTTACTAATAATTACTGATTCCAAGAAAATTTTTTTCTTTCCACTTAGCTTATTCAAGACTTTACATTTATATTTCTAGTTTGGTACTGTTTCAACCTAAGTCAGTCATCTGTTCAAAATGTCTGTGGACAACATAGAAACCAACCATATTTCACTTTTTATGATAGGCTAGTTTGGTAAGCGTGCTGGAGCTGGTATTTGAATAAACAACAACAACAACAACAACAACAAACACCACAACCAGAATTACAATTTACTCCTTTTTTTTATTTTTATTACTAGGTTCTTGAATCTAGGGGTTAAATCAAGAGTCACAAATAGTGTTTAAATAAAGGACACTTCATATCAGCTGTGAGGTATGCAAATTTTCAATTGAAGAATAATAAATGTGCTTCACTTCACTGCTTAAGAGTCAAGTTCATCTATGTTTTTAATCATTTACTGGAAAGGAAATAAGAGGAATTAAAAAAACAAACAAACCAAAAACCAAGTTATTGTAAAAACAGGCCCCAGCTTGCAAACTATCAGCACAGAAAAGATGACAGAGCAGGAGAAAAAAAATCTGTGTGATGGTTCTGCGGTGGCTCAGAAAGGGGAGCAGGGCACACACACATTCCGAGGAGGGAGACACAGACTCCACCTCCTTGAAGGGGGCAGCTGTGTTGGGCGGCAGCTTGCTGCGTGGATTAGGTCAAAGGTGGAGTGCAGATTCCAAAATCTGCCACGGCATGGAGGATATCTCACTGAGGTCAAGGAAACGTCAGGAAATATACGCCAGCAAGTTTGAGGCAAGGGGAAAGAAAAAAAAATTCAAGGAACTTTCCCCTCAAAAATTAAAATATCAGAACACGCCCCATTCCTGTTGCTGCTGATCACAAAAATGCCCACATAAGACAAACTTTCGAAATGAATGTTTTCAGCAGATTTTACTCTGGTGTGGCATAAAGGACTCTCTCTTGTTGATAAGATTTCCTGTATGTAAACAGGATGGTCTAAAACCAAGAAGAAACAACTCTAATGCTGGTTAGACTCTGCCTTTAATTGTTAGAGACGGCATATTAAAAACGAAAGGTAAATCACCGGTTTTTGATACTATGAGTAGCCAAATGTCTCTCATGCTGTAATCAAAGGAAGTGTACCTGGATTTATCCTCTGTCACCATTTTTACAATAAAGTTCAAAAGGGCATCTTATGGGGAAAAGCACTGCATACTGCTTCCTTCTAAATCAGTCAGAACACTACCAAGAGAAATGAATGCTAGATAAGTCTATTTTATTTTAAAAAGCAATAACTTGCCAGCTAGAGTGGCTCAGTGGTTGAACCAGGAGGTCACGGTTCGATTCTGGTTAGGGCACATGCCCAGGCTGTGGGGCTCAGTCCCCTGTGGGGGGCATGCAGGAGGCAGCCGATCAATAATTCTCTCTCATCATTGATGTTTCTATCTCTCCCTCTTCTTTCCTCTCTGAATATACATATATTTTTTTAAAAAGCCATCCTAGACCCCTTGAAAGGATTTCACTTTACGTTTTATTTTTCTGATTGATTGTTTGCATGTGTAAATTTGGGAAATCCCTCTTTAGGTGGTTGCCACCAAATAGTAAGAGTGAAATGATTACGAATCTTGGCCCACAGTGTCTGGTGGCCTGTGTTCCCTCTTGGTGTTAGCCTAGCTAACTACATCTTCCAAGTAAATCTCAGCTTACCTAGACTTCACTTGGAGCGAGCACATGGCAACACAGAGTGACCCCGCTCTCTCAGACGATTACAGTATTTATCACCATCACAAGCAATTTATGTCACTGTCTCTCCTGTTAGAATCACAGCTTCTGAAGTTAGGGTCTATGTATCACTTATTTTTGTACAGCCTCCTTAGCTTATGCTCTGCTACACAGTGATGCCTGAATAAAAAACTGATGCATGAAGAGACCTCTGTAGTTTATATAACGCTTAAAAATCATTACATTAAAATTTTAATGTTGCCATTGAAATTACCCTAGAGTCTGAAATTGCTTTCAAATGGCTCATTTAATGTCTATATAATGTAGATATAAATATTTAAAAGATAAATAAAAATAAATAAATAAAATCATTAATCATCAACAAAGATTTGTTAGACTATTCAACATTTCTATAGGCTTCAAATTTTTCCAAGTGAAAAACTACGAGAAAAAAAAAAAAAGGACACTGGGCCAAAACCAGTTTGGCTCAGTGGATAGAGCGTCGGCCTGCGGACTGAAAGGTTCTGGGTTCGATTCCAGTCAAGGGCATGTACCTTGGTTGTGGGCACATCCCCAGTGGGCGGTGTGCAAGAGGCAGCTGGTCGATGTTTCTCTCTCATTGATGTTTCTAACTTCCAATCCCTCTCAATTCCTCTCTGTGTAAAATCAATAAAAATATATATATATACATATATATTTTTTTTTTAAAAAGACACTGGCATTTCTTCATAATTGCCAAAATAATGACGTTTTATGCTCCCAAAGCAGTCACTGCCATTAAGTCTTTCAACACACCTGTTAGTGTGGGGTTAGCATTCCTATTTGCAAAGAAGAAAAGTGAGGATCAGAGGGTACTAAATGATTTCTCAAGTTTTTTTGTTTTGTTTTGTTTTTTAACTTTTCTTTGTTAATCCTCACCTAAGGATATTTCCCCCATTGCTTTTCAGAGGGAATGGAGGGAGGGAGGAGAGAAACATTAATGTGAGAGAGACACTGCCTCCCTCAAGTGCCCCGACCAGGGACTGGGGAGCAAACCCACAACCAAGGTATGTACCCTTGACTGGGAATCAAACCCATGACCCTTCGGTGCACTGGCCAATGCTTAACCATTGAGCAAAACCAGCCAGGGCTGATTTACCAAGTTTTAAGAGCTCATTAGTAGCAGCCAACGCTTATATAAAGACCTTCAACTTCCAAGTCCGAGAGAGATCTTTGCACTGTGCCGGCCTGCCTCCTCATTTGATGAGTGTTGAATAAATGTTGTGTGTTCCCGTTGTACCTGTGACTTTACTTGGAAATGGTGTCTTTGCAGACTGTAATCAAGTTGAGATCTAGTCATACTAAACGGTGGGCTGGTGCCTTTATAAGAGAAAAGGAAGGGCCCTCGATGGTTTGGCTCAGTGGATAGAGCTTTGGCCTGAAGACTGAATGGTCCTGGGTTTGATTCTGGCCAAGGGTGCATGCCCAGGTTTCGGGCTCAATCCCCAAAGGGGGGTGTGCAGGAGGCAATCGATTAATGATTCTTTATCATCGTGATGTTTCTATCCTCTCTCCCTCTCTGAAATCAATAAAATATATTTTTTAAAAAGAGAAAGAAAAGGAGGGGAAATGTGGATACAGAGAAATGAGATACATCACGAAGGAGGCCATGTGCTGGATGATACAGTTACCAGCTAAGGAATGTCAGGATTCCTGCCACCACCAGGGCCTCGGCATGGGATGGATTCTCCTTCAGAACTTCGGGAAGTAACCAACCCCGTCATCATCTTGACTTTAGACGTGTAGCTTCCAGAAATGTGAAAGAATATATTTCTGTTGTTGTAAGCCACCCGGTTTGTGGTCATTGGTTACCGCAGCCCCGGGACATTAATAGAGTAGTTACTATTTGCCCTGTAGCATACATCGTTTTTATGCAGCAGCGTGTGTGTGATAATAGGGTTTAAGTTACTCATTTCAAAGACGTACCCTCTCCGACCTTCCGTGGAGGGAGAGGGAAACTGCAAACACAATGTAAAGGCGAGTTTTACCAATTTTAGAGTTTGCCTGATTGTTACTATTGTTACTTCTGTATGTTTTAAAATATGAACATATTTATAGAAAATGAGCAGTGAGATATTATAATACCTACTTGTTCATGCCCTCCCAAATATGGATCCTCTTCTGCCATTCTGGAGCTGTACAGCAAAGCAAAACAAAAGCAAACCGTAAGCCTGAAATACACCTTAACAATTCCACCATCCAGGAGTCTACTGCGTTATGCCAGTAAGACCCGATATGATTCTTTTTCAAGGACTTGAAGAGGACATGTGCAGTTCTTTGAGTCCTAAATCTAACAGTAGAAAAATCTGCATAACCCAGGAATCAGCATTTATGTATAATCCAAAAGCCCTTTTGCCAGGCTCTGCACAGTGTCCTGAAGCGTGGTGTACCTAACCTTCATCCTCCGTATAAAAATCGTATTTGGACTCTCAGAGGCCCTTTCTTTTTTGTCACCATGTAGGCTTCAATGATTTAGTCCTAGCTCTTTGCGTAGTTTATTTGCTAACCCTGCATGAACTCTGTGGTGATGCTAGAACTGCCTCCAGGCTCCAGCGGAGAAGCTCAGAGGCAGTCACCCTGCTGACAAAGGGCGTGGTCAGCGCATCAGGGCACCGGGGAGGCTGCTACAGTGTGCTGTGCCCATTTCCTGCCCTGTCAAACCATCGCCGTGGTCCCCTCGTCCACGGTTCACTTTCCGCAGTTTCAGTTACCCGCAGTTGGAAAATGTTAAATGCGAAGTTCCCCAAAGAAACAATTCACAAGCTTTAAAACGTGTGCCTTTCTGAAGAGCATGATGAACCCCCTGCCACCCCACTTCGTCCCACCCGGGGTGTGAACCATCCCTCCGTCCAGTGTCTCCACGCTGGACACCCCACCCACCTGCTAGTCACTTAGTGGCCATTTAGGGGATCAGATCGACTGTCACAGCATCGCAGTGCTCGTGTTTAAGGGACTCTTATCTTACTTAATAATGGCCCAATGTGCAAGGAGTGATGCTGGTCATTCGGATACGCCCAAAAGAAGCCATAAAGTACTTCCTTTACGTTAAAAGGCGAGTATAGCCCAATAAGATATTTTGAGAGATAGAGACCACACTCTCATAATTGTTATTGTAATTTATTGTCCTACTTTTTCTATGGCATTATTCGTTATTGCTGTTAATTTCTTACTGGGTATATTTATACATTAAACTTTACCGTATGTATGTATGTATAGAAAATATGTAATAATGAGGGTTTGGTACTATCTTGGTTTCAGGCATTTCCTAGAGATCTTGGAACATACCCCCCATGGGTGAGAGAGGGGAACTACTGTATAGAAATGCTGTAATATTAAAACTTCAAAAGGAAGACATAAAAATATGAGCCCTTATTTTTTAATTTTTATTGATTATGGTATCACATAATTGTCCTCATCCCTCCATTCCCATCCCAAACCCCTCCCCACATATGCCCGCACCCCCTGTTGTCCATGGCCACTGGCTAGGCCCATATGTATGCACACAAGTCCTTTGGTTGATCTCTTCCCCTTCCCTCCCCCTCCCCTACTTTCCCTCTGAGGTTTGAGAGTCTGATCGCTGCTTTTCTTTCTCTGGGTCTGTTTTTGTTCATCAGTTTATGTTGTTCATTATTTCCTCTAGATGTATGAGCCTCTCAGCATAACCATTATGGCTTGTCGCAGTTTAGGTTCTTACAAGGGTATTTCTTGGGTCACATGATCTCACACATCTAGAGGAAAATATGAGCCCTTATTATCAATGCTATAGTCTTCAACTTAATCAACGGCAGCCAACTAATAACACATTGCAAGCCTAGCAATCTTCTGTTAACCAGAGGCCCTGAGAAAACCAAAGAACCATAATGCCAGATAAAAACAGTATCTAAAGTCATATATCATGCTGGCTTTATTTACTTAAGAAATAGCCTTATTTAGATTAATTTTATTTAAATTTACTAAGCTCAAATTTTAGATATAGTACATGAAAAACTAAAAGATAAAAATATCACAGGCTGAAAGCAAATATGAATTCCTGAGGCAAAGTTCCCCCTAACCCCCAAGTGAAGTGTATTCCGCACTGCAGGATACTTGGGACTGGGCTGGAGATGGTAGCTGCCCGCCAAAATCTGTTCTCTCCTTTCCCAGGGACAGAGCTGTAGCTGGAAGTGAGGCTGCTCCGCTGGAGCGAACCCCACGCTTCCTGGGAGTCAGGGGTGGCCATCCAATGACAGGCTCACCAGGGGAATGTCAGAACTACTGCGTGTCACTGCCACGTCTGGCTTAACATCCTTCCTTCGTGTTTTTGTTTTTTTCTCTTTCCTGTTGGATAAAACCTAGACACGGAGAAGACAGAGCTTCTACCACACTGGTGACAATGAATGGCAGGCGGCTAACACTGCTGGTGATGGGAGAACAAAACTTCTTTGTTCTTTAACCCAGTGCACTCAGGAATCTCCTTGTTAAAACAGTTTAGCCCTCACCCTAATGCAGTGGTTGGCAAACTCATTAGTCAACAGAGCCAAATATCAAGAGAACAACAATCGAAATTTCCTTTGAGAGCCCAGTTTTTTAAACTTAAACTATATAGGTAGGTGCATTTTTAGTAACTTACTTAGGGTACTCCTAAGCTGGCCTTTGCTAAAAACGCCAGGGGCCAAAGAGTCGCATGTGGCTCATGAGCCACAGTTGGCCGACCACTGCCCTAATGAATACATTGCCCAACACTTCAATAAGGACAAAAATCACCCAAAGGAGACCCTGATATGCAACGAAATTTTCTAGACACCGGCTAGAGCCCTGAGTGACCGGTGAGGGCGAGAATGCCTCGAGAGGTGCCTAATGGGATCTGGGGTGTCAGCTCTCAGCCCAGAGAACAAGAAGGCCATGCTGATATGCAAGGAAGTATTTGTCTAAAACAAGAAATTACTGCTTGAAGATGTACAAACAGCTATACTCAATTAAGACAAGCTGTCAAAAGGGGGGAAATTGACTTGACACAATAAAGAGGAATTGCGTCATTGGAAATTCAAGAGTTTTGCCATTGCTGGGGGCGTGACTGGATCTACAACTAACCTCACCGTGCTCTGTCTCTTCACCTGCAAAATAAGAGACTTCAATGGGTTGGACTTTTGAAAAGAACTCAGAATGTTAGTGAGCTAATTGATGTTTATTCAAAGAACAAATCACCTACATCATAACTCTTTTTGTAAAGTTGGTCTTTTAAAGGCATTCAGGTATATAACTATATTAAAGAATCATTAGCACAATTTTCAGTTATACAAAGAATAACTGTATGGCGACATAGTGGTAATACCGGTTACAACTTTCCATATGAAAAATCCTTATTTTTAGAACACCACAGGAGCCAATTTCCAAAAATAACATTAAAACCCTTTCTTCTTCTGCCTTTAGGCTTTCTATTAATCTGGGCTGATTACTTGAGTCCTCTCAAACAATCTCAGCCAACAGCCTTCAAAAGCAGAGGTAAGACTGCTGACTTACTAAATTGACAGGACACGTTCAGGAACTCCATTACATTCAATATATTTATAGTTTTAAACTGTGGATGGTTTCCTGGCCTGCAAATGCATGGATCCAATATGAAGCAGCCCTCACCCTAATTAAAAAAAACCCTCAACTATTGTAAATCTACTTTATAGAACTGATGCAGGGCTATTATCGTGATCACAACTGTAGTTAAAACCTTAATGAATCTAAATTGTAGGCACTGGACAAACTGACCAATTAAATGCAGTTTAAGTCCTCCCTCCAACAAACTCCTCATGCAAAATGTGTGCCAAAAGATCACAATTTTAAAAGCCCAACAAGCAGTACCAAAGATACTTGGGTGATGGTTAAGTCTAAACTTTTACACACTTGGTAAGACAGTTTAAGTTCCCTGTGAAGAGCTGAGGTAACAGTAACCCTAGAGTGATGTCAATGTTAATTCATCATTCAAAGCCAAATGTCAAAAAGGATGAATCACTGAGTAATATTTGCATTAATGGCAAAAGCAGGTTTTATTTAAAAAATGTGAGCCTCCAACAAGCCCTTGGAACTCAGGGGTTAGGAAAGACCAGGGAAAGCCCCTTTTGCACCCCGCTCCCCACCCCTTCCTCTCACTTTTCCTTTGCACAGTTCTGTGCTTTTGAGGAAGGACCTTGAAGCAGAAAGGGAGGGACTGGGTGGATTGCTGAGAAGACACTCCTAAACTTTGCATCGCTTCCCCTGCCAACCGCCCCCTCCCCCCAAAAAACACACACAAACAAACAAAAAACAAAACAGTGAGGTTTGAAGAAAAATTTTCACACCATGGAAAGAAAAATAGAAAACATAGCTGCCTAGCAAATAAATAAAACATCTTTTCCAGTGAGTTGCTTGTATTTCCCAGGTGAGAATCATAACTAAGTTCTGAATATGTGGAGAGTTCTACATGCAGTGTCTAAGGAATTATTTTCTGCACATATGTGACAACCCTATGCCTGACATCAAAGGCCAGCAGGAGGACGTCTTAGCAGAGGCAGCAAGACCAAGGCCATAGGGGTGGACCATTAAGGATGGAGTTGGAGGTACTATATTCATAGTTTTTAAGCAGGGCCCACTATAAGAAGATATATTATTTTTATTCTACTTGATTACATTTTTAAAAAATCCATAACATGTTTTAAAACCAGTAAATGATTTCAAGATCCACTAATAGATCACAATCTAAAGTTTGAAAACAGAATCTGTGGTGCCATCCAATGTGCAGGTAGGAATCAGAGTGAGAAACTTTCTCTATTTTTAAGATTATATACAGCCACAACAGACACTGCTGCTTATGTGTAATTTTAATGCCTTGGCTTGTAGAGCAAATAGGATAAAATTTCAAGCAAAAGAGTGACTTTTCATCATTTCTCTGCTGAATAATCCTATCTAATAAATGAGTAATATGCAAATTGACCGTACCTCCACGTGTGCGTGCATGCGGGCACACGCGAGCCCACACACACACACACAAGCCATGCCTACCATCCAATCAGGAACAAATATACAAATAAACCCAACCAAGATGGCTGCGGCCACAAAGAGAGGAGGAGGGAGGCTTGTGTTTCCCTGGCAATGGAGGAAGCCAAGCTTTCTGCCAAGCAATGCCAGCCTAGGCCTCCACTCAATGCTACAAAGTTTCAATGTTAGAAGATAAGTAAATCACAACAAAAATGACAGAAGCCACAGAGCTAGAGAGAGCAGGAGGCTTGAGTTGCCCTTGGAGATGGTGGAAGCCAAGCTTTCTACCTGCCCTGGCCTTCCCAGGCCTCCACTCCAGGCTACAAAGTTTTAATTATAGAAGATAAATAAATCCCAACAGAAATGGCAGCAGCCACAGAGCTGGAGAGAGCAGGAGGTTAGGGCTGCTCCCAGAGATGGAGGAAGCCAAGCTTCCTGCCTGCCCTGGCCAGCCCAGGCCTCCACTCCAGGCTGCAAGCTTTCAATCATAGAAGATAAATAAATCCCAACAAAAATGGCTGTGGCCATGGAGCAAGCAGGAGGCTTGACTCTACTCAAGGCTAAAAAGTTTCAATTATAGAAGATAAATAAATCACAGATACCAGGGCCTCTGCTTGGGTTGCCAGGGGGGCATGGCCGGCCTGTAAACCACCACAGGTCTCTCACTCAGGCCGCCCCACATCCCAAGGGAACCCCCACCCTGATCCAGGACACCCTTCAGGGCAAACCAGCTGGCCCCCACCCCTGCATCAGGTCTCTATCCTATTTAATAAAATAATAATGTGCAAATTGATCATCACTACAACACACAATTGTGCAGCCCTGTGAGGAATCAATTGGGCTCCCTCCTCTCTGATTTTGGGGGGTGTCACCCAAGAACTGCAGCTCGGCAGCTCCTGCATTGGCAATATGCCTCCTGGTGGTCAGTGTGTGTCATAGTGACCGATCAGATGGACACAGCATTATATATATATTATATATATATTTATATATTTATTTATTTATATAAATCCCAACAGAAATGGCAGCAGCCACAGAGCTGGAGAGAGCAGGAGGTTAGGGCTGCTCCCAGAGATGGAGGAAGCCAAGCTTCCTGCCTGCCCTGGCCAGCCCAGGCCTCCACTCCAGGCTGCAAGCTTTCAATCATAGAAGATAAATAAATCCCAACAAAAATGGCTGTGGCCATGGAGCAAGCAGGAAGAGCAATTGAGAAAGTAAAAGTTTTTGGCATTCTGAGAAAAATATTATTTATTTTCCATCCTATAGTTATGGGTATATAGCCACATTCCCTCTTTATTACTATCCTTATCACTGCTGAGTAAAATGTTTGCATTTTTCCTCCAGGGACATTTGGCAATGTCTGGAGACATTGTTAGCTATCACAGCTGGGTGGGTGGTCCTAATGGCATCTAATGTGTAGAGGTTAGGTATACTGCTAAACATTCTATAATGCATAGACAGTCCCTTACAATAAAGAAATATCTAATTCAAATGTCAATGTGAAGAATGATAAACCCTGATGAATGCCATAGCTTCATGTCAAGTGCTTGGGTTCCCATGGAGAAAGAACTAAACTTGATTGGCTATGTCCCATGCTTTAACATATTTCACTTAATTCTCACTATAATCCTGAGAAATACTATTCCAGATGAAAAGACTCAGATTTAGAGAGAGTAAGTCATTTGCTTAGGTTGACAGAGTAATGCTGGGGAATCTGACTTCATAGACCAGTGATCGGCAAATTGAGGCTCACGAGCCACATGAGGCTCTTTGGCCCCTTAAGTCTGGCTCTTCCACGGCCTGGGCAAGTCGATTTTGAAGAAGTGGCATTAGAAGTTTACATTTAAAAAATTTGGCTCTCAAAAGAAATTTCAATCATTGTACTGTTGATATTTGGCTCTGTTGCCTAATGAGTTTGCCGACCACTGCCATAGATTATGGTTTGTTCATCTGTCTAAGAGGCAGAAGTGATTTTCCTCCTTGACTTACAAACTTTATTCATTTTAATAGCGTCTTGCTCCAGATCTCCTGAATGCTCAGGTTTGAGCTAATCTACCCATAACATAACCTGAAAAGCAAAAGCAAATTGTGACAATACACAAAACTCAACTGAGGTCTTCCTCAGATAATCAAATGTGAAGGTACAAATACCAAACAATTTAACTCAGCATTCTGTTTACTTATCTCCTTTGGTCAACTTCAGAGTACAGAAGGAGGATAAGGAGGTTTTCCTGAAACACAGAAACATATCCACAGAAAACACCATCTTCACTAATGGTATAATCAAAGTATGTCCATATTTAAAAATAAGATATATTTAAATGCTTCTCAAATACTTCATTAACTTAGTCATTTATTTAAAAAAATAATACTCAGGCTTAGGAGGCTTACTGTGTGTCAGCAAAGATACCAAAGT